TGATAGCAGCAGCAGCACTCGCAATGCGCCGATGCAACGCTGATATCTGCAAGCGTGGTATGGACCCCACCTCTGCACGCATGCACATCTCACGTTGACTCCAAAAGGAACATAAAAACCGGCGGCTGCGGGGGTCGAACTACGACCATCCTCTTTCTACCTTCCCATCACCAATCCCCACATCCATCCCTTACCATGTATTCTGCAGGAGCTATAAAGTCAATTGTGCCATTGACGAGCTCCGGCCTCTCATATCGATCAGCCCGTCGCATGGTGTCATCCAGGTGGCAGTAGTACCTACCCATAGACCTCAGGGGCTCCCTCGTCATGCGTATTACGTCTGAGGAGTGTCCCCAACATAACCACACATGTTGCACTGCCACTTGCGACCGTTCTCAGTCCAGATCACGAACGGGTTTATGTATCTGAACCGAAGCATTCAAGGGAAATCGAACCGAGATGTGTCCACTTCAACAACCCGTGGATCGCCGGCAGAAGTCAGATGGGCGTCGAGGCCGCTAGTAAACTACACTAGAGACGAAGAAATTGAACTCAGATTCTGTTCGTAATGACTCCGGGTTCGATTCCCGGCAGAGGCTATTTTCGAGCATTCTCTGCCTGTTAACAGCCACAACGCAGAACAGTCTTGCCAAACACACGATGAAGGGTGGGGATAAGAGTATCTTCGTATTTGCTGCTGAGTGCATGGACTACGTTCCCCCCGAGTACTCAGCTGGTTTAGTGATAGGAAAATAATCTCAACAGAGGCCCGCACACACAATGCTTAAAGTGAGAGCATATGCTCCGCTCGCTCCGCAAAATAGGGTAGCGAGCCCCCGCCCTCCAACAGAATGCGAAAATATGCACATGGTCAACTACATGTGTTGGTTTTCTGAGAAGTCTGGGGAAATTCTCAGTTTGTAATTAGATAGCTCCTTAGCTCAGCTGAGGCAAGCAAACATATATATTCCTCGAACCCCATCCTACGATCGGCATTTCCTGCATCGCACTACGGTGCTGACCCCAACAGCATTAAAGTTCACCACCGGGACCTCGGGACACCCCGCTGGGACCGGAGCCATCGGTTGAAAGTACATACCTATACAACACTGCTACGGACGGCTGCCAAACTGAGTATACTACCTATAGGAATCTTAGTCTTAGATCGCACATTGAGAGAGTTGGGAAACTTGGACACACTGCAGCGAACGAAATGCGGAGGCGAGGAAAACTCAGCACAGTCAGCCATCTGAAAACCCACGCCTGTCCCCACGGCCCATCACACCCGCCCAAGTACCCTCTGCTCATCCCTACCCTCCGTCTGGGCCCCACCATAGCCACCACTTAGCAACTG